GGAGGCGCGGGGCGCGGGGGAGAGCCGTCAGGCCCGGCCCTGCGGCTGCGGGCCGCCTCCGGGGCTGCGCTCGGGCTGCGCTTGCAACAGCTTGTCTGCTTAGAGCGCTGCTGTTCACAGTTTCGGAGTCTGAAGTTCGTGTCTTGATGAGCTGGATCGTCTTCAGTTTGGCGGGACCCAAGCCTGAGAACCAAAGGGAGGCTCTCGTCGGAGAGCGCGCGGGGGCGGGCGGTGCGGAGATCACGGCCGCGCCTCGACGCCTGGCAACGCTGGACGCCCGCTTTAGTTCCCCCGAGGCGCAAAGCGCCCTTCGGGGAGCGTGCCCGGCCCTTTCAGAGCAAACGGGCACGCACAGGCTTCTGCGGCACTGCCCTCCCGTCGTGCCCAGCCCACGCCCTTCTGTGCCCTGGAGCCCCGGGCCCTTAAGTACTGGAATCGAAACTTCAAGTGAGCGTGACACGAAGTTTGCTTGTAAACATCGGTGCAAGTCCAAAACGGCGTTTGTACTTTTCCTGCGAATGTGTTCACGTGTTGGATGGCACGGAAACGGAGCAACACGTGCATACTTAACCCAGCCGGGGCTTAGGGCCCAGCGCCCAGCCCTGTGCCTGGGACGGACGGAGCGGGCAGAGGGCGGCCGCCCGCCCCGCGTCCCGCCTCGCACTGTGACGCTGTCGGCCCTTGCGGTGGCCTGGGTCCCCCGCTGTGTCAGAGAGGGAGCAAGAGGTGCCGGCTCTGCGGAGGCCGGAACCCAGGACTGTCCCGGGTGCTGCTGAGCACCCACGCGTGGCACTGTCCCTGGGGCAGGGCTCGGCTTGGCTGCCGTGTTCTTCCCACAGACAGTGTGAGTGCGTGTGAGCATGCGCGTGAGCGTGAGTGTGCATGTGCAGTGTGTGTGCATGCACTGACCCGGGGGTCGCCCGACCACAGCCCGGCTCTGGGGATGCTGGTCCTGCCGGCCAGCCACCTTCACCTGCCGCGCAGGCAGCTCCCCGTCACCCGGCCTCTGTCTCCAAGGCCCCGCCTTGGCTTCCGCCCGCCTGCCCCGCGGGTCCGGAGTCAGGCGGAGCGGCGGGCGGAGCTCTGTGGGCTCAGGCCCTGCCCGAGACGGCCCTGCCCCGCCTGGGAAGGAAGGAGCGCGCCCTCGCCGGGGCCCGCGCGGGATCCGCGCTGCCGCCGGTCCCCAGCAGGGTGGCGAGCTGCCCTTCCCTTTGGTCCCGGGGGTTTCCACCTGGACTTTCCTTGATTGCAGAAACGGCGAGCTGACACACGGCAAAACCAGGTATCCTAAAGCGAGAAAGGAAACCAGTCGTCCACACGCGTCTTTGAAGAACACTTTCACGCAGTGTTTTAGGGAAGCCTGGGGTGGGTCAGCTCCGCACCCCGGGGTGTGCGTGACGCGCCAGGAGCTCGCCGCCCTCTGGGCCTGCAGCCGCAGGGGCGAGTGGCGCTTTGCGAGACCCCTTCGCGAGGGCCTCTTGCGGCCGCATCTGCGCTGCTCGTCGGCCTCGGGCGCCAGAGACCCCCGCTCCCCACCCACTGCACACAGAACGCGGGGCTGGGTCTGCCGCCCCCACCTCGCGGCCGCAGCGCCCCCTGCCGGGCCCTCGCGGAGCTCAGCCGGAAGTCCGCTCCGAGTCGCCGCCCCGCGGTGGGAGAGGCGGCTGCGCTGAGCAGCTCCCGCGGTCTGACCTCCAGGAGCAGCGCGCGTGCTCCTTAATATTCACTTCCTACGTGTTTTCAACATTCACTTGTGTGTATCCAAGGAAAGGTTCAAATTTTTATTATAAAACTTTTATATACTCTACCATACTCTACTTTTTATGCTCCGGTATAATTTTAGTTCATTCACTGACTTAACCTTTGACCCCACCATTTCAAAGGTCTCCCGGACAAAGATTGTAAGTGCGTGGCTGCCCGGGCTGGGAAGTCGAGGAAGAACGAACGTGGGGCTTCGAGAGGGAGGAAATGAAAATACTCCAGCGTTAGCTGTGACGACGATTTCCAAAGTGTGGCACAGGGGAGCTGTCGAGTTGTGTGCTTTAAGTTAGTAAACAGGAAGATGGGGGTGTGAGCAAAGAATATGGTAAGTACTTACATTTTAAGAATATTACAGTGCAAGATACATCCCCATTAACCTCCTCAGAGTACTCCTCTGGTTCCCACACACTTCTCCCACTGTCCCCCACACTTTCTAGAGCGGTTCTGGAAGGCTTCTTTCCCGAGCATCCTTGGTTGCCCTGGCCTGGCTGCCTCCAGGTCCTGCATCAACTGAAAACGCTGCCTTTCACAGTGATTTGACTGGGGAGAGCCGGGAGCCACGCTGTGCCGGCGCAGAGAATCAGGCGGACCAGCACGGTGCGGCTGCACTTGCCGTGCTCCCGTCACAGCGTGTAAGCACGCGGAGGAAGGCGGGCTCTCAGAACCGCTTCAGACAGTGGCAGGAGTGATGGGGTATGTGCGCTTGATGGAGGGCGGGCGTTCTGAGGGGAACGGAAGTGCGTCTTTTACTGTGACGTATTTTTAAAAATTTAAGTATTCATTGTATATTTGGATCATACCTCCTATGTGTAATACCGCTCAATAAAGCTGTTACCTAAAGTATCTCCTGTGATAAAGGCTAGTGTCTACGCAAGAAAAATGTGGGTCCATTCCAATATTTCGATTTTTATGTTCGTAGGTTTGTTTCCATAACCTATGAAAATTTATAGAGCAGAAAAGGAAGTTTGGAGCCAAGAAAATCATGAAAAACTCATGCTATTATCCTTTCTTCTTGATTTCTCCTTTACATAGATATATATGAAGAATGTGAAACCTTGGCCTATTTTCAGGCAGATTTTATTTTAAATTGGAAAGTATTTTCTTACCTGGAAAGGGAGTTCCTAAAATGCATTTCTCATTTGAAACTGAGGCTTGGTGACGCATTTTGGAGCCTACAGAGGAGGTGGAGCCGGGAGTGGTCTGCTCTGTGATCTTCGGGGCTGAGCCCTGCTTTACCCCTTTTTACAGGCTGGGCGGCTGAAGTGCAGGGCGCCCCGGCCAGGCCCCTCTGTCTTGGGGGACAAAGTCTGTCTATATCAGAGCCTGAGCTCTGAAGGTCCGGACCTGCTGCCCCGTGAGCAGATCCCCCACTGCAGGGGAGAAGGATGGAAAACTAAAGACGAACCAGTAAAGCTGGCAACCTCAGACCAGAGCAGACCCACTCTGCTCCCTGACAGCCCAGCTGCCTGAGCACCGCTTGTTGGTCACCCCGGCTGTCCTAGTGATGGTGCCCACCGGATACCCAGCAAATGTTGGATTGTTGAGTAAACACAAGGTGCACACTTTGCCAACCACATGCATGTTCCTTCCTCACACGGACACCCCCCCCCAGAAATCCAAACCGCTTTGTGTTTTCCTCCTTGCTGATGGAGTGGCTGCAAGTTCTTGACCAATAAGAATCTGTAAAGTTTGTGAAGTTGGAGGAAGCAGTATTGAGCAAGGACAGTCAGAAGGAACGAGAAGGCGTCTTCGTTCTGCCGTTGGCGTGTGGATGGACCGCACTGCAGCGTTGCCGCTACGGTCCTCACTGTCAGTCAGTACTGGCCAGACGCTCCCTCAGTGTCTCAGCTGTCTGGGCGCCGAGGTGGAGCCTGCTGGGAGCAGCCGCGTCAGGCCCTCGCTGAAGTGTATATTTTAGGAGAAGCCGGGAGAGGAGGTCAGTGAACAAGTACAATAAACAGGAGCTGGGGACGGCCAGGCATGGGGAGTGCATGCGGGCTGAGACGTGGTTTAGAATGGGGTTGAAGCCGCCTCTCAGGTGCTGATCCTAAGACACCTCCGGGCCACGGAGCCTGCCCCACAGCTGTGGGCCAGGTGCTGGAGAGGACCTTGCCGCGAGTGTGCTCCTCATGACCAGAGCGCCACAATCATGTTTACACAGTGCTGAGGGCTGGGGCGCCAGGGGCATGGTGCTGCTGATGGCTCTGCTCTTTTCAGGGAGGTGCTGGGCCCAGCAGCTGTCTCCCAGGGTGCTGATGGGCAGGACCCAACCTACAAGCCAAGCTGAGCCAGGGACTCGCAGCTCTCTGGCCTCCACAGCCAAGATCTGCTTGCTGCCCGTTGCCCCCTCTGGAGAGTTTTTAATTGTTTTATCTGGCCAGTGAATTGTGTGCTTAGTCTTCAAACTGCGGGTTAGCAGGTGGGAGAGTGGGGCTTCCTAGTCGGGGGCCTTGGGGAGTGGCAGGGTCTCACTCATTTGGGGGCGGTCTGAGGTTTAGGTTAACTTCAAGAGAGTGCTTTTTTCATTTTAGATAGTCATTTTCCAGCAGTAATTAAGAGGGAATAATTTATAGGTTCAGTTAGAGTGTGGTCCCTCGGCCAGAGGACAGCATCCCGCACGCACGCACGGTGTCCATACCGCACCCCGCATGGTGTCTGCGCTGCAGGCCCACCCCACCGGTCCAGCACAAGGCCGAGAGTGGCAACTCAGGCAGGGCAGCCTGAGACTTAGGGCTGCAGGTCCTCTCACGTTTATCACACAGGGTTGCTCTCATTTTGGAGCAAAGTGGGGTTATTTTCCATCTACTGCTTGTTGCGGTATTTTAAACAAAATGTCATTAGGAAATGGTCACATCTGTTGTGTGAATAGTCAAATACTACTCAGTCACTTGCATCAGTTTTCAGATTGCAGATTTTATGAACCAGACTGTTCAGGTTGCAAAGCAGAGTTTTAAAGATTGAACTGCAAGGAACTAATTTTGTATACCAAAAATGTGGATGAGGAATGATTTTATATGATTTAAGTTAATCAGATAAATCCTGATAAATTTTTAAGTTTTATAAAAACAGCACCTGTTAAAATTGACCATTTAAAGAAAAATAAGTTCAAATATTTTAAAATTGTGTTAGAGTAGAAATGGACAGGCTTCTGTCTGAGGCAATGTGGAAAATACGGACAGTATCTTCTGAGGGTATGCAAAGGGCAGAATCGAGAGAATGCAGGTCAGGTGAGGCCTTTCATCTTTGACTCTGTCCACAGTCACTTCAGATGTGGCTGGAAGGAGGCAGGGTTATACTCTGTGAGGGACTGAGCCCTAAGTCCACCTGGTTAATCTGAAGGAGGCCATCCTGTCTATGCATTACCACCTCCCCTGTTTCTCTGT